ATGATTGAAATTATTGTCTTTTACATTAAAACCAAAATATATCTTTGTCATTTTAAATGGTATTAAAATCCTGGATACTTGAAATGCATTCAAATTGATTAACACTTATTTTAACATTGATGTGGTAGCACAATTTCCCCAGCAGAGAGCAGCATTGAGTAAGAATAACTCCACACCAAACAAAGAGGGTGAGGAGAAAGGTTCATATTATAATATCAGGGACTGCAGGATAAGATGGCGTAAAGAGACCAGAACAAACAGAAAAAATAAATTGGATGAGTGTAATAGTAGGAAAAAAGAAATGCAACGAGAGGGGAGGGAGGGAGGGGAGGCAGAGGAACTAATTCCTCTCTTTTTTGAGACTAATACACGAAGTGTGGCAAGATAAAGTGAGTAAACCTTTTATAATGATCTCATGATATCTATTTATAAGTTACATTTATGAACAAACATAGCTAATATCACTGAAATCATTGTGTTGTTCTTGTCTTAAATATATCATATTGACATTCACGGTGTAAATTGGCAAAAGTATGTGAGGTCCGAGGATAATGGCATCAATTTAAGATTATTTTTAGGATTTAGTAAACACAGAGTCCATTAAATGAAACCAGATTAAAAGGTGTCAATTTACAGAAACACATTCTGAGTTCACTGTTCACAAGACACAGCTTCTGAACGTCACCTCACAAGAAAGAAATCTGAGAAAACTTCTGAACAAGAATATTTGATTTTCATCAAACTGGAAAAGGTTAAAAAATCTTCTTACTTAGTTAAATATTAATCTCTCAGTGAGACACATTTGTTATTACCCTCATCTCTCATCAATGATATATTGCAAGTAAAGTAAAGTGGATCCCTGGGATGAATCATGTGGCCATAGAAGAGTTAAGATAAAAAACTATGGAGCACCTCAGTGCCACTGACTCAAGGTGTTTACAAGGACACGCTCATGAAAAGCAACACCAGTATTACAGCTGGGCCCTATTGAGATGATTGTACTTTAGGGTTTGTTATAGTCCATCATATTTCCAATCCACTACATTTCAGAGAGTCTCCTTTAGCAGAGGGGACGAGGAGGAAGAATCTGCACAACCCTTTTCATTCTGTGGCTCAAAAGTAATAGCAGGTCACACACTATAACCAGAAGGTCGGTGGTTCGATCCCAGAAAATGTCCCCTGATGGCCGTGTGTTCTCAATGTATCTATGAATGTGACTTGTACTGAAGCATTTGAAAAGTTGATACGATTAGAAACAAGCTATTATATATTTAGTCTAACTCTACAGTGTTTGTAGGGCAGACTAAGATGACGCAGTTATGACTTTTCCACTTTGCAGGTCACAGTATAAATGTTGATCTTATCAAATTATAATTCAAAAAATATGATACAAAAGTAATCTGAAAAAAAAGTCAGTGGGTCAATGACTTATGATTATTTAGAAATAAACATTTCTATTTCAGTCATTAACTTTTCCACAACCCTCACATGATACTGATGATTTCAGATGGGCTCTGAAACATAGAGACATCTATGTGTCTGGTGGGGAGTGAAATCGTCAGCTGCTTTAGTTAGATATTGTGAATACAGGATCAAATCAATTATCAAAAAAAGGTTTAAAATGAGAAGTGAAGAGAGGAGAAGATAGGATGATAGAAGAGAAGAGGATAGAAGAGAAGAGCAGATGGTAGTAGAGGAGAGGAGAGGATAGAAGAGAAAAAAGAGGATAGATGAGAAGAGGAAATGATAGTGAAGGAGAGGAGAGGACAGAAGAGTGTGGTGTCTGAAATGCTATATGTTGTCTTCCCTTTAAAGGAAATTTATCTTTGGGTTTGAGGCCCACAGCTCCTGAGAAAATCGGAGGAAGTTTAGGTTGTCTGAGAAAAACTGAATGTATACATTAGGGCATTAGATCACAGCTCTAACTGTCACCCTAAATTTGAGCTGGTGTCATTCCTTTCCTGTTACCGGACAGTCTGGAGGAAAGCGAGATGCATTTTCTTCACATTCATGAAAACAACCGTCCTATATAAAAGAGGAGTTGAAGTTGCCTCAGGAGAAGAGATTCACAATAGGCCCCGAATCTCTCTCCAGGCAGGAGAGATGCACATTGACCCCGGATCTCTCCATAGGCAGATTGCAGTGCTTGTATTGATGCTGAACTTTTTGTAATAAACATTTTATACAATTAAGACGGTGTCATCTGAGATTCCTTCATCATCTTCACATCATCGCAACCCCAATATACGACAAGAGAAGAAGAGATGACAGAAGAGTAGAGTAGATGATGGAAGAGAGGAGGAGATGATAGAAGAGAATAAGATAGGATAGAAGAGGAGAGGGGAGTATAGAAGAAAATAGAGGATAGAAGAGAAGAGGAGATGATAGAAGAGGAGAAGAGATGATAGAAGAGGAAATGATAGAGTAGAGTACTAGAATAATTTAGAATAGAAGGTGTAGGAGCCAGCTACTACACTCAACTCTCTTCAGTGTCTTTGATTGTTACAGGATTCTCATGACAATTCATCCAGACACCAAACATATGAATAACGCAGTGTGGTTAGAGGCATGTGGCATTTTTCCTGACAAGGATCAGGTTCAACATGTATTTAAAACAAACTTGTTCATGGGAGGAAACTGAAAATCCTCCTCTCACACACGAGAAAAAGTAAAGTGAGTGAACTCTGCTTCATGTCACTTTCAGACAAAGCTGATTCTGAAACAGTTCCTGCACTGTGTACAGTCTCTGTCACAAGGTGTCAGTGTTGACCATTAAAGTATAACGCATCTCTTTAATCGAAGTCATGACACACCCATTCGTAAAGGGAGTAATACGCAGCTTTCTGGAGGATGAGCGTTTCTAATGTTTAATTCTAGCTGAATCCTAAAATAATTTTTTTTAGACCATAAGTACCATAAGAAAACAGGAAATGGCTTTAGAACCTGGATTATTTTTTCCTGGAGATGATAGGATGAATGTCTGGGCCACTGTCTTTGTCTTGTGTGCAGTCTGGCCCAGTGCTTTGTCTGTGACGCGCTACTCCATAGCCGAGGAGATGGAGAGGGGCTCTGTTGTGGCCAATCTCGCTGCGGATTTGGGACTTGAGCCTGGAGGTTTGGCACAACGAGAGGTAAAACTTGATATTTTCACCAACAAGAAATATCTAGATTTTAACAAAAAGACAGGGGAGCTGTACATCGTGGAAAAGATGGACAGGGAATATCTTTGTCCGGCGAAGCCTACGTCATGTTTTCTAAAGCTTGATGTGATCATAGAGAGTCCCTTACGCATCTTTAATATAGAACTCGGAATAACGGACATAAATGACAACGCTCCGCATTTTCGACGGGACAGAGTAGAGCTCGACGTGTCCGAGTCGGCGACGCCAGGAGAGAGGTTCTCCCTGCCTAATGCTGTGGATCCAGATGTTGGCGTTAATACAATTAAAACATATAAGCTCAGTGTCAGTGAACAATTCACCATCGAAATTCAGACGGGCAGTGATGGAACTCAGTATGTGGATTTGGTGTTGACTAAGTCTTTAGACAGAGAGGAGAAAGCTGTTCATAATCTAATATTGACTGCGGTGGACGGCGGAGTCCCTGTGCGCTCTGGCACTGCCAACATCATCGTCAGAGTACAGGACACAAACGACAACCCTCCTCGGTTTGACAGGCAGACCTACACGGTTAACATGACGGAAAACTCTCCGATCGGAACCTTGGTGATGAAGCTTAACGCCACAGATCTCGACGAGGGTGTGAATTCTGAGATTGTGTATTCGTTCACCCTTTACACGTCGGAGAAAACACAAGATGTCTTTGCTTTAGATCCGAGCACAGGGGAAATAACCGTGAAGGGCACTATTGACTATGAAGATATGAAATTCTATGAGATGCACATTGAGGCCAAGGACAAAGGGATCCATCCGTTACTGGGACAGTGTAAATTAGTTGTCCACGTGACTGATATGAATGACAATTATCCAGACATCACCATACAGTCTGTTAAAAACACAGTGAATGAGAACATCCCAGTGGGAAGTGTCATAGCTCTAATTGGCATAAGTGACAGAGACAGTGGCGACAATGGAAAAGTGAGTTTATCAGTACATCAGCCCATGCCCTTTATTCTAAACATGTCATCAGAAAGACCCATGCATTATCATCTCATAGTGTCTGAGCCTTTAGATCGAGAAATTGTACCAGAATATGACATCACACTGATTGTGACTGATGCAGGAACTCCACCTTTATTTGATAATGAGACAATAACTGTGCATCTGCTTGATATCAATGACAACGCACCACAGTTCCCTCTGTCTTTTTATACGATACGTGTGATGGAGAATAACGCACCTGGCGCCTTGCTCAGTTCATTCTAAACATGTCATCAGAAAGACCCATGCATTATCATCTCATAGTGTCTGAGCCTTTAGATCGAGAAATTGTACCAGAATATGACATCACACTGATTGTGACTGATGCAGGAACTCCACCTTTATTTGATAATGAGACAATAACTGTGCATCTGCTTGATATCAATGACAACGCACCACAGTTCCCTCTGTCTTTTTATACGATACGTGTGATGGAGAATAACGCACCTGGGGCCTTGGTCAGTTCACTCACTGCCTTTGACCCTGACCTCCATGAAAACCAGTATCTGGTTTACTTCATCCTAGAGAAGGAGATAGCCAACACCTCCATGTCCATGCTGTTCTCCATCAACCCAGAGAACGGTAATCTTTACGCACTGAAAACTTTTGACTATGAGATCGAGAAGGAGTTTCTTTTCCACATCGAGGCCAGAGACTCTGGCTCTCCTCCACTCAGCAGTAACGTGACCGTCCATATTGTTATTGT